CAACCAGTGAACTCGTCGCTCTGCACCCCTCGGTCCCCAATAAAAGTTGACAATGAGATTATGCACTTCCTCAATAACAATATTAGGAACCGGGAATACTGACATTGCGTAAGTGAATTGTTCCTGTGCTACCGACTTTATTAGCACTTCCCATCCTGCAATAGAGAGCACCCTTTCTTTCCAACTTTTGAGATTCTTCCTCACTCGTTCAGTAATACCCTGAAACATGTCTTTTTTTTTTTCGAGCGCCCCACTACAGTCGGCAACCCCAGATACTTCTAATGTTTGTCCACCATTGTCATCCCCAAGGTACCACTTATCATAAGCCGAATATGCATTTTAACACTACCACTGAAAGAAACCTCAGATTTATGAAAATTTACCTGTTGGCCCGACTCACGTTCATAAGCTTTGAGGATGTCTTTCAACGTACTCGCTTCTTGAACAGTAGCCTTTCCAAAGAAGACGCTGTCATCGGCAAAGAATAAATGGGTTACTATCGGCGCCCCTCTTGCCAATGATATCCATGGAACCTGCCTTCCGAGGTCGCCTTCTTCGTAAAAGCCGAGAGGCCCTCCCGGGCCTGAAGCTTTCTTCTAGAAGAAATTTGTATTTTTACCCCCCTCACGCAGCCAGTCAACCCCGGAGCGTTGATGGCAATAGATTTCCTCATTATCCTCTACCTCCAACAGCTCCGCCTCAAGTTGATTTAGTTGGGCTACAACCTGTGGCGTCTTCCTTCCTCGTTCCAGCGACCTTATCGCTCTCCAAATGCGCTCCTTCTGTTTGCGGAAATTTGGGAACGCCTGTAGGCTCCACGCGTTCAGCTCATCCCTACAAGAAGCAATTTTTGTTAGGGCATCGCTAGGGGCTCCCCGTTTCCACGCAGCGGCTATTACTTTCGGGCATTGCTCATGTTTCACCCATTGGGATTCAAAATGGAGCATCCATCCCCACTTCGGATCCTTATCATATTCCCCATTAGTGTCGCAGACGATCGGGCGATGATCTGATGTCGCTTTATCTAGGTGTCTAACTCTTGCTTTCGGAAAAGCCTCGTTCCATTCCATGGAGGCTGTGAACCTGTCGAGGCGCTCCTCTATGTAGCCTCCTACAGTCCGATTGTTCACCTAGGTGAATTTATACCCTTGATAACCCAAGTCATGAAGACCAGTATCTAGCAAGCAATTACCGAAAGCAACCATTTCATACGCACTTTGTGCACGGCCACCCTCTTTCTCTTCGTTAGTGAGGATTTGGTTGAAGTAACCGCCATATAACCGTGGTATGTCCCATTGCTGGGATAGATATCGCAATAGCTCCCAAGTTCTGTATATATCTCCATCTTGAGGCCATCCATATATTTCGGTGAAGCGCCAGGTTAAAGAATTCTTGTCCGTAATCTTAGCATCAACATGGTGTAGATCCCTGGCCATGATTTGAACATCAAGATCTTCACGCCACCAAAGACTAACATCACCAGCTCTCCCACCTCAAGATCTATCAGCCGACCAGCTCTTTCCATTGCCAAAACCTATCTCTAGCTGTGTGATCTCATTTTCATCTTCCATCTGTTTTGTTTCCGTAAAAGAACCATATCCGGGGACTTTTGTCGTAGTAGCGACTTCAACTATTTAACTGTGCGCTTACTCCCCAACCCGCGACAGTTATAACTCAATATTCTCATCTACAAAATATATAATGGCAAAACATGAGTTCATTTTTCAGCATTTTGAAAATGGAGCCTCGGGAGTGATTTCCGGATGGGCTGTGTTGTAAATTCACAACAATTAAATGATGCTATGCGTTTAGAGCTCCACGGTCAAGTCCGCCTCCAGTTGGGCCATTAACGGTTCTGCGTTAATCTATCATATGGGCATGTTCTTCCTTCTTTCGCCTATCCAACCGACGTCGTTGGCCAACACGCTTTCCTCCAAATCAAACCCATCTCTCCTCCCCTGCTCTCCACCGCAAAGGCTAAGGCTGGCGCCGGAAGGAATGGCCACGGATGTGGAGGTCTTTCATGGCATGGCTACTCTCGCAGCAAAACTGTGTTGTACCCTATCGACACCTGCAAGACCAAATTCCAAGATGAACTCCGAGCTCGCTACCAGCGTAAGTGTAGGTACCTATATTCTCCTACTTCGTCTACTCCATGAACCCTTTTCTTCAATTTTCGGAAATTAAACATTGCCAACATCTCAGTTGGGGAAAGGCTTGACCTTTAGACCATGATTGACGATAAAATTCTTCTATATTAGCTTGCCTAATTAGGATTATTGTGCATAAATGTTGTTGTTGGATTTTGGGAAGCAATTAGTATGCATAAGGTTATTTCATTATACCCAGAGCTTAGAATGAAGAATGGGAAGGATTTCACTTCCATTTGTATTTTTATGGCTACACTTTCTTCAAGAGGCTCTACTTGGAGAAATTGGGCAGATAGCCATGGGAAAATCTAACTTGCTGATTGCTGCTGCTAGGGCTTAGTTGTAGCATTGACCATGTTAATTTTCTCTCTCCATTATATATGTTTGTTTTGCACCTTCTATTTTGAATCGAATTTGGGATATGAAGTTGGCATTAATTGTGTTACAGCCTTTGGGTACAACAACTTCAAGGATGAAAACCTATGAATTTGATAAACACAAAGATTCTGTAAAACCCTTTTGGAGGGGAATTGGGATGAGGCGTTCAATGGACTTGGTATATCATTAGGAGTGTCCATTCGGATTCGGTTTTTCGGGTTTACCCGAAACCGACCCCATTATATGCATTTTCGGGTTTTCGGGTTCGGGTTCGTTTTGGGTTTCGGGTTTTTCGATTTCGGGTTTGGTTTTGCTTATCGGGTTTTCGGGTTTCGTCTAAAAACCTCCAATGAATAGAACTCAGTCTGTATTCTTAGGCGTTCGGGTTTCGGTTTTGCTTTAACCGAACCCAAACTCGATAAGGAATTTTCGGGTTTTGGGTAACCGGAACCCGCAAGTCCTTATCGGATTCGGTTTTAGTGGTTTTTCGGTTTCGGATTTTCGAATTTTTTCGAATTTCGGTTCGGGTAACCGAACCTGACCCGAACCGACACCCCTATATATCATTGCTTCTCACTTCCAACCCTACATACAAACCTTGGTGAAATCTCACCCCCTGGTTTTTGTCTATTGGACAACTTCATTTGGTTTTTGGGTTAGTTGATTATTAAGGGATGGTTTCTTTTGCTACAGTACATTGTATTTGATCAGTTGAAACAACCACTAATAAAGCATAAGCTTAACGAGAGATCCGTTGCTGCAGATGCATCTCTTGGGATACTTTCCACCTTCACTGCTTCTGTTCTCGGTTTAAGTATAGGTTGAAACAGAACTCAGCTGTGGGTTTACTTCTCTTTCTACATCTTCATTTCTTTCGGGGTTTCAGGTAGATTTCCTTCTCATTGATCAAAATGATGTCGTCGGGTGATTTCTTCCAGGTAAGATCCGTACCCCTCTTCTCCGATGTGGCATAAAATGCAGATTGCTATTATTGATAGCTTGGCGGAGTGAACCTAACTTTGCTAAACCTGTTTATGGTGTTTTCTTATCGGTTTCTTTGAGAACTTATATATCTATTAAATCCGCACACTATTCTTGGTTGTGTGACTTTTACGTCATAAATTTACAACCATAGTTGCCTAATTATAGTTTGGTTGCTTCTTTGGGTCATTGTTTGTTGAATGCAATTATCTGATTATAGGTTTCATTTGTTGTGGTTGATTCTTTAATTGATAGTTTAATGATTCATTTTTCGCTGTTGGTCTCCATCTACAATTTTACTACTTGAAAATAGTAATCTGGATTCTACCAAAAAAAAAAAAAAAAAAAGAAAGTAACCTGGAATAGTAGTTATGTGGTATGAGGAGAAGTGAGAGCTACGAGTGGATTTAGCAAGCCGTTTAAGTCGATCCTACTTCTCCCTATGTTTGGCCCGACTTTTAGAAGTGTTTTTCGGCTTCAAAAGTCGAAGCAGGGCCAAACACCTCTAAAAGCTCGGCTTTTGAAAAGCCGAAAAGCGCTTTTGTATAACATAAAAACAGAAGCTCCGATTTGGAGCTTCTGCGAAAAGCTGTTTTGAAAATACAAGATTATCTTTACCATATTTTAATTTTATTTCATAAAATATAATTTTCCTTCATTTATATCATTTTAAAAATAAAATAAATTATAAAATCATATTATTTAATATAAAAGAAATCTAACAAGATCATTTTGACTACTTTTTATTGTTCAGCATTTTTATTCATATTTTATATTATAAGTCCTTTATAGTCATTTTACACAACCTCTCATATTAAAAAACACTTCTAATAGTTTTACAACCAAACACTCAACTACTTTTTTTGAAAAGTACTTATCTAAAAGCTCCAGCCAGAAGTTGCTTCTGCAAAAGCTACAACAGGGCCAAACATAGCTTATATATCACACACGTCAAAGATGGATACACCTATACATAAGTATTGCCCTCTTCCGACCAAGGTTGACAATCCGCGGGTCGACTCGCGGTTGACCCACTTTGACCCTAACCCAGTGAGAAAAATGGATCGCATACATCCGCCAGGTCGACCGCTGCAAGGTATCGAGTTGTAGGTCAAACTGTATTGTTTTTTTCCTTTGGTTTGCGAAATGTGCCTATTTTTTTTTCTTTTTTGCCTAACCCAATCTTATAAATTCTAAGCTAGAAATTTGAATATTGATATTAAATAAGTGTATGAATTTTCACTATAAGTTGTATCTAAGCACGATAAGTTATTTTAGTGGAATGTTATATGTTATTATTAAAATTTGATATAATTTATAAATGTATGAATAATATAATAACTATTTTCATATGTCCAGCCTAAAGCGGTCGACCCATTAACCCTCAACCCACTTGCTCGATCAGACCAACAGACTAAATCGGGTTACCAACCTTGATCCGACCAACGGGTCGGGCTTTGTGCTAGTCTATAACTCGAAGGGGATAGGATCCCCGCGTCCTTTTGTTTATCAGCTAACTTTCCCGCCATCCCATTAGTGGCCTTGTGCTTCTCATTCTCTTTGTCCATCACCTCCGCACCACGTTGTTTGTGCTTGGAGTTAGGGTTCGTTGACTTCCCTGCCCTCGCACCTGCTTGTGGAGAGACTACTAACTTCTTCCGAGGATTGGTGGTATTAAGGGACTTATCAAAGTGATTGGTGTTACCTTGCTTTCTACTTTCAGCCTCTCGTCCAAATACAAAATGTTGTACTGGACCCTCCGCCCGCTCCAAATCGTTTATGCGGTCAATCCAAACCGCACCATTAGGATTGCGGTTTTATTTGCGGTCTAATTCTAAGCGGTTCGCGGTTTTGTGGTACGGGTCGACCGAAACTGCGGTTGCGGTTCGAAACCGCAAACCACTAAATCCCTACCCAGCTCAGCGAGGGATTCTTAATCTCAATTCATACCATTCTGAGCAAGCCTTGCGACGGCGCCATCGACGATTCCTCCATCCCGACTACCTACCCGACGACGTCGATCTATCCGTGCCTCTCGACGACGTCGCGCACCACTAAGAGGCGATAGCTCCAGCGCCGACGCCGACGATTCCTCCATCCCGCCGAACCCTTTGCTCACCCTCCCCGTTGTGTCGTCGCAACTAACTTCTTCCCAACCGCAGCAATCATCGCTGCTTTGTGAATAGAGAGCGCCGTCGTCACCGAGGAAGGCATAAATATCCAAGAGAGTAAGCCTTTCGTGCTCCAAGCAATTACCGACGCAGCTCTGCCACTCCGCCGTCATCACCGTCACCGCCGCTAAGGCCAGCGCCATTAGGAACCTGCTGCTCGTGCAACAAGAATCGTATGCCACTCTGCTTGCTCTCCTCATTTTAGTTTCCATTTTGATCTGGAACTGCTTCCAATTAGTGGGTTGTATTCACTAAATATCCATTTTGTCTGTGATCACAGGCCCTATACATTTACCGATTTCTGGGTTGCTGCTTGCAGAGGGAGAGTATGCCTTTTTTCCTTTTCCAGCTTCCAGATAATTGACTCAGACTGACTGCCGGATGTTCTGTTTTTTTAGGGCTGAATTAGTTGTTTCTTTCTCTTGTTCCTTGAGAGCTTATTTTGAAGTCGGTTGGTTGAATGTATAGTGCTCATATTGTAATCACCGGCAATTTCGTGAATTTGTAGTCAATAATTAATACAACGCCCAAGTCAGTGGTGGAAAAAGTAGATAACTTTATTTAGCTTCTGTCTATAGAAATCTCCTGCTATGGCTTCCAATGGTTCAGACCCTGTGGAGCAGCAAAAATCTCCCCAGAAGCTGCAAATATGCTCTACTTCCAGCAATGGAGTCAATTCTTTCTGGAGAGGTTTTACCTGCTCTGTTCCTCGCTCGATATCTCGTATGTGAAATGTGAATCCATTTGACTTGTTGTTGCGGTTTTATTTGCGGTCTTGTTTGCGGTGTCGGTTGGACCAAGTCCAGGGTTGGACCAAGTCGCTAACTAATGCGGATCGGTTGGACCGTACCAATTAACCTGCGATCTTGTTTGCGGTGTGGTCCAATTACTTTGCGGTGCGATGCGGTTTTTATCAACACTGTGCGGTGCGGTGCGGGTCGCACCAATGCCCACCCCTATTCCTCTCCTGCTAGATTTGTGAGGGATTTGCAGAATCACCCGAGTTATTATGTGTTTGTTTTTTGGCCTTACCCCTAGGTTTGACCATCCTCCACTCCCCGGACATGGGTTTTGGAGTTTTCACTGGGATTTCCATCCCCTCCGACATGACAGTTTCAGCTTCCTTCGCCACTTCCTTTCTGATGACAGGGCATGCTTGCTTGGAGTGTCCATACTTCCCACACTCCGAACAAATTTGATGCAAACCTATATACTCAATGTAGTAGGTAATACCCTCGATTTTGTATTGCGAGAGGAGAGGCTTTGACAGATCAACCTCCACGCAAACTCTAGCAAAACAACCTCTCTCGCCCGTTTGTGTAGCGCGATCTACACAGATCGGTTGGCATATTCTTCCTGCAATTCGTTCCACGGCCTCCTTGTTGATAAACTCTGATGGCAGGCCTGGGAGTCTCACCCATACCATCGTGGATGCAACCTCCACTTCCTTTGGGTTGAAATTTTTACGCCATGGACGTATTGTCAAGTAATAGTCTCCTATCCTCCATGCCCCGCCCCCCACCGGTCGCTGCTTGCTCGTAGTCAAATTGGCTTGAGAAGAGCACTACATAGTACCCATATGTGAGGCTCGAGATTTGGATCACTCCACACTTTGCCCAAAGGGCTTCTAGACGCCGAGATATCACCGGGAATGGGAAAGTACGACCAGGGGCCTTAACTATAAGGGCGGATCTCCATTGACGCCTCCATTGTTGCTTTTCCATTGCCTTGAAAGGTACCGTAGGGAAACGAGGAAGTGGTCTCACGTTGTCTCTCAATAACATGGGCTGCACGCGGCCCGGTCTCGTTCTGCTGCTTGCAAACATTAGGAGGTTGCTCCCCTTGTTTTCCTTTGCCATATTTAGCGGGAAAACCAATTAGGCGATAGCACATGTCCTTGGTATGGCCAAGCTTGCGACAGTGACTGCAACGGGGAGACTTGTCGTAGGAAGTAGCTGGCTTGGCATCCTCTTCGCGCGCCTGGAAAGCGGCCGACTCAACATTGGGACGCCGCCCAGCAGTTAGCTGCTTTTGTTGTTCCTCCCCTGCCACTAATTGGTATGCCTCAGAAAGGGATGGTATGGGCTTCATGTTGAGGATTTGTGAGCGTACCACAGCAAAAACATCATCAAGGCCAAGTACAAAGTCAAAGAGCCTCTGCATTTCCAGGTTCTCACGGGTCTGCCAAGCAATATCACAAGAGCATCTGCCACAACTACAACGCGGGTTGATGTTGATGGTTTGAAGTTTGTCCCAAGCAGTCTGGAGCTTTGTCTAAAATGCGGAAACATAAAGTTTCTCATGTCGAAGGGAGGCAAGATGACAGCGCAACTCGTAGGCGCGCGTAGCAGAGCTCATTCCAAACCGCTGGCGAAGATCGAGCTAGATTTCTCGTGTCGTTCGAGCCCCGCACACACTGTTGCACACCTCTTTGTTCATCCCGGTTTTCAGCCAGCCTTTAACCATCGCATCGCAACGATCCCAAGCATCTGCGCGCATACCAGTACTAGCCGCGGATCGTGCTAAGGAACCATCGACGAAAGCTAACTTGTTCTTGGCGATCAAGGCCTCGCTCATATGTCGTTGACCCATTCCCCATAATTGAGATCGGTTAAGAGGTCGCTCCCAAATAATTGACCAGGGTTCTCTGAGGGATGGAGATACAAAGGAGAGGTGAGTGGAATAGTCGAATCAGCGCTAGTGAGAGCGCTGCTAGGGTTGCTCACCGTAGCTTCTCCAGTCGACATAATTGAAGTAGATCGATTGTTCACAGCTCTGATACCATGTAAAATATAGAGATTGAGGAAGTAAAGAAGACAGCGATTTACGTGGTATCCGCAATTAACAGGACTAATCCACGGAGAGCAAAGCTCTCAGATAGGGTTTCACTATGACAAGACGAATAGAAATCAGTTGTTCTTGTGTTACAATGGCTGCCGAGATGTTACCTTTATAATGCCCCTCAACAGATTAACCTAGGGAAATTAGGGACTCTTAAGCACAATTACCAAAAGGTACAAAAAGAATAAATAATGTCTAGTTTAACACTTCAACAGTTTCCCCTCAATGATAGCTTCCCTCTTCCTTGATACGGTGCAACTTATAATCTCATTCTATTGACGGCTCTGTGGAAGTAACGGAATCACAACAAATGCCCCCAATTAAAGAGGTTAATGGGACATTATACTTGCTCCAATTAGTCGACTACTATGGCTATATAATAACCATCAATTAACTAAGTTCCATCACAAAGTTCCATCACAGAAGTTAATTCCTTGACGGAGATAGAATCTTAACTAAATTCCATCACAAAGAAGGAGAGACGTTAACGACGCTTGGAAGAGATATTAGGAGAATTTGAAGGAGTGCCCCATCATGGATTCATTGCCCTGGAGCAAGTAGCAAAGTATTTCGCCAAAGACCTAGGTTGAGACACCATGATGATGGTGAACCATTCAGCCAATAGTGATTTCACACAAATGACGGGAGTCATATGCCAGGAGCACACTGCCAAACTCACAAGGAAAAAAAATAATTGGTCCAAAAGATCATTGATAAATCGATTCAAAGTGTCCCAAGGAAGCGAGGAGTGAATATAATCTTGCATTAGCATATGAAGGAGGTTTCTCAACAACTGAAGGATGCCTAGTGGAGTCAAAGGAAGGACTAGGACTAGCTCTAATATGATGCAAGAGGATAAGTAGGTCATGACGGTCAAGGTTGCTAGAACATGCTAATTTCAATTATGTGTATTAAGGTTACCAATGGAAATCTCAAGGAGGATATGCCCCATACCAAAGCTACATGCTAATGTCAATTATGTGAATTAAGGTTACCAATGGAAATCTCAAGGAGGATATGCCCTATACCAAAGCTACGCCCAACCCACTATACCATGTAGCCAAGAAACCCAATCCACAAGGATTTGGGAGCCATCCACAGTATAAGGAGCAAGGAGCAGGTTCTTCAATTCATCAATCTAACCGTTTCGAGAAGCTATAAGAAACAGTTCATAGTTTGCAAGCCAGTTTTTAAAACATTAAACGTCAACTTGCAATCCTGCTTGCTGTGAGACCCTAGAAGCCTCATGGGATTCTCCCCAACAATACCGAGAACAACCCAATAATTTCAACAAGTTTTGGCAATCACTTGAATGAACATGGAATTATTTTGTCACTCAATGCAATAATTTGAGAAGAATTTTTTGAAAAGTCTGATGACTCATGTGATAATATTATAGCCTTTTATTGAATTTCTTCTACGTTGTTGTAAACATACAACGAAAATAGCCAAAAAGCTTAAGTATAGGTGTTAAGGAAAAAAATATAAAAGAAATAATAAGTCATACACAACAACACATGTAAAATGGAAAAATCTCGATTCATGTAGTAGCGTGACGCCTCCTCATTTTTATCTATTAATTTTCACTCCAGAACTGCTTCTGGAGATAGTCCACCAAGTTCTTGTCCACCTGGAACGCTTTGGTGAGGACATCAGGATTGATGGCAGGATCAGAACCAAAGACAGCATTGGCAATAGTAATTGTGCCTGGATTTTGACTGCTCAGTCCGGCGAAAGCGATAGCGTTGGTATTGGCCACGTTCAATTGGAAGTGAATGAGACCGATTGGGAAGACGAAAACATCTCCAACGTGTAGAGTTTTTGTGAAGAGCTTGGGAGGGTTGGAGGTGACAAACCCGACATGGTGAGTGCCCTTGACCACCACAAGAATTTCGGTGGCACGAGGGTGGGTGTGAGGAGGGTTGAGACCACCGTAAGGGGCATAGTCGATACGCGCCAAAGAGATGCCAAGAGTGTTGAGCCCTTTCAATCGGTCGACATTAACCAAGGTGACGTTTGAGCCAACCGGATTGGATGTGTTTGCGGGCATGTTGAGGCCACGAAATGTGAAGTCATCGGCATTGGCTTGCATTGGGTCCTTGCAGAACTTGCCATTCACAAACACTGCATATGTAGAGGAAGTTCCCATTAGGCATTTATCATGCATAGTCAAACAAGAAATTACAAGGCTGGTTAAGAGGTACACATGATATAGAGTGAGTTTAATTTGCTCGAGGACGAGGAGTGGATATATATGCGTACCACCGAGCTTGGGGTCGTCAATGGAAACACAGAAGTCCTGAAGAGGGCTTGGGTCGAATGCTGCCGCAATGGACGCGAGAAGAAGAAAAGTAACAGCCAGTACAGAGTACAGCTGATCAGCTCCTCTCATCATGCTTCTACGTTTTTGGGAGCAAACAGTGGTAATTGTAAATGTGGATATCTCAGTTTGTTTGTTGAATTGTTTGTGCTTTATTTTGTTGAGGCAGGGTGAGATATCCTACACCCAGACTGCTAGCTACTTATATAGCTAGCTGCATAGTTAAAGGGTTGAAGCAGTCTCGTGCATGTCGTCTCTTGAAAGATCGATCATAGCAGCCTGGTCTCGTTTGAATTGTTAAAACTTAAAATTATTGATTAATTAATCTTGTTTGTGAGAGTTGAAAATAATTTACCAGTTCCACGGATGCACCCTAGGATTTGGTGAAGACTTGGGCAGAGGCAAGTTAACGACGTCATACGTACAGCGGTTGAAAAGTCAAATGTTGGAACTTGGAACACTTCCGTATTAACTTTCCTTGCTCCCACACAAATTAAAAAAGATTAATTACATTGCAATTATGGAGCGAACTAGAGATGGCAAAAATATCCATAACCGTGGATATCCGCCCGAATCCGACCTAATTGGGTAGGGTATAATCCGAATCCGAAGGACTTTTTGTGGGTATGGGTAAAACCCGAACCCGAATATTGCGGGTAATGGATGGACATGGTTTGGGCACTATCCAACCCGAACCCGCCCGACTATACATATGCACATGTATTTTATCTAGAAAATCATTATTTTTCTCTAAATCAGGGTTACCTTCCTTCTTTGCTCCAAATCAGGGTTACCTTTCTCATACTCAATCTTTTTGATTTGAGAAATCTCTGAGCTTTCGGGCAAAGGCTCTGGTTACCTTCTTTAGAACTTCCCTTTCTTTAAGTGAACCACATCTCTTCTATAAAAAGCTTAGGGTCGAAATTCTTCTGTCATCACTCCTATATCCCCTCACTTATTCAAACAAAAAAAAAACAATGGCTTCTCCTAACCAGCATGTGACTTCCTTGAGGTTGGCTCAAGCTGCCATTTTTAATGCTAAAGGCTTTGAGGATGCAGCTGGTTATGCTCGATAATCTCCTTCAGTTTCAAGATCGTCCTTTACATCCCTCCATTACTCTTGATCCATCGAAATTCAACAGGTATGGGATGGATATCCCTTGCCTGATCAATACCTTAGGCTGGGGTGACATACTCCCTAATCGAAACTTTGGGTTTCGACCAGAGGCTGTACGCATGTTCTATGCGAATATGAAGCCATGTCTTCATATCTCTCCACACTGTTTCACTACCATAGTGTACAACTATCTGATAACACTTAATGTGGAGCTGCTGTCATTACTACTGGGCATTCGTGTTTCTAGAGCAGAAGTCATGAATGAGCTTGACTTCCATTCTGTTGAGTTCAACGAGGGAGATGCCTTGCGACTGTACACTCGTGATACAGGCCATTATTATCCTTCGGAATTCCATTCCGGGAAACTCCGTGATGATCTCAAGGTTCTGCATTTTAACATAACTCGGCTATTCCTACCTCGCTCTTTTGGCCTCAATACCATTTATCCATCTGATTTATGGATTCTAGCTAGTGCCAAGGAGAATCAGTTATAAGCTATCCCCATTTGATGTTCGACCATATGTTGAATTATCATGCTGATAACTTTGAAGCCGACCTTCCTTTTGCACCCCAGATCACTCAGATCTTGTTAGCATTGGAAATCTCAAGGAGGATATGCCCCATACCAAATCTACATGCTAATGTCAATTATGTGAATTAAGGTTACCAATGGAAATCTCAAAGAGGATATGCCCTATACCAAAGCTACGCCCAACCCTATTTTCATTAAGGCAGAGGCAAGTTACCGACGTCATACGTACAGCGGTTGAAAAGTCAAATGTTGGACATTTGAACACTTCCGTATTAACTTTCCTTGCTCCCACACAAATTAAAAAAGATTAATTACATTGCAATTATTTTTGTGTTCTATCATGGAGCGAACGATGTCAAAATGTCTCAAAATGGTAACTCAAATGATGGAATATACAGTCTCTGTTGCTGCTGCATGCATGCTCCTATGACTTTTTCGACGTTAGTGTGGCTGCTTCTGCGACGGCGTGGCTATGGTTAAGCCTATGTAAGGCCCTGACTATGGTTAAGAAAACAAATCGTGGAGTAGATCTCTCACATGGACTAGTCCCGATAATCGGTGTCAAGAATGCGGAAAAATCAAGAATGCACAAAACTTGTCACATCACTGTCACATCATCTTTATGTAAAGTCCTAACTATTTCTTCTATAAATTTTAACGGCCTGTAACCATTTTTTCTATAAATTGTAACGGGCTATATCACTTTGATATAATTTTGGAACAAAAGACAGTTGAGACATTTAGTATCAGTCTATAACATGGTGGTAATGTTTGGTACTAAAGTGTACCATAGTGGTATGAACATACCAGAATGTATAATGGTTGAATAAATTATAGTAGGAATATACACGCTGTCATTTACCACATTCGTCATTTTGTATGTATCATTAGTTACCACCTCTATACCATGGTAGTACATAGGAATGGCAATGTGGAAGGTCCGGGGTGGGTATCTTGATGCTCATACCCGCCCCGTGGCAGCTCGGGTCCAGATCGGGTAATTTATCATGGGGTGCGAGTCGGGGCAGGTCGACCCAATGGGTACGTAATTTATATGATAAATATTATAATTATTCGCTATTTTCATTAAAAGATCAAGAAACAAACCATAATATGATAAAAATATAGTTAAATAATTGTAGAAATAGAGGTTTTCACTTATTTACAACTTTATTATAGATCCCTATAGAGCTGGTCGGACCCACCCCAAAACACACCAAACAAGTCGGGTAAAACGGGTCAGGTCGAAATTGCCATCCCTAGTGGTACGGAGTAGTACCTTTAGAGCCTATATCTTTCTTTCATAAATTTATAGATCCAATAAATCAAGAAGATTTTGTTCCAACTTTGAAAAAAGAAAAACAACAAAATTTGAGTGAAAAACGAAGGTGCCAAGTGGTAACGAGTGACATGATTATGAGAATTATGAGCCTTAATGCTTGATTGATTAGGATAGATAGTTACGTTCCTCTAAACTCCACTTTTATGAGCTTTAATATTTCTCATTCTTATGTGATTCAATGCTTATGAGATAATATGAGTGTGCCATGGTATAACCTATTCTAATTCATGCTTATCTTTAAATGTTCACATAATTAGCTGATAGACATTTTAATTATTTGGTTTTATGTTCGGCTTGAATTATTTTCTTCGGGTTTATTTTGGTTATTGTGGAATAATTTGAGGATTAATAAGTTGGGCTAGTCATAGGTAATTGTGTTTAGGTATTTAAACTATTGTTTTACGTAGAAGAGGCATGCAAGATTAAACGTATCAAAAACCTAATCTCCTCTCTCTCTCTTCCTCCTTTCTCTCAGCCGAACCTCTCTTCTTTTCCCTCTCTTGGTTGCCGAGCAACTTCTGCTCTTCCCTCCCTCCACTTCCTCAAATCCCTTCTCACTCACTTCTCCATTCGAGTTTCCCAAGTCATCATCTCGTTGACCCCCTATTCCCTAATCCCTAGATAGAGCTCAGTTCAGTGGGTTCTATGATTAGCTTATAAAAGAACTCAAGAAGTCGGGCTTTGAAGTACTGTGGGGTGTGGTCCACCATTCTCATTTGGATTCTTTTTATAATGAAGGAATGGAGGGATCATTCAACTTACTAATAGGATGTCACAAGGACAAGAAGAAGGGTGATGGTGCATCCTCAACTAGCAATTCTAGATGATCTGTTCCTTAGCCAAGGAGGGATGCACCTTGCACAATAAAAAGGTTGGAGAGTATTATCGAGACAGATTCTGACTCGAATGGGAACCGATACAAATTCGTTCATCGCACTCCAATGAGAGCAAGGGACGATTATCACAAGATAGTAGGAGATCAAAGAGCCAAAGGAGGCAGATGCGTTAAAAGGATGAGGAGCCAGAGGGGGTGATAATCGAGACTAGTGAGGAGCTCGAGATCGACGATGCACCAACAATGATTCTTCATCCATTTGTGTAATTTCCACCAGGCATGCAGAGACGAAGGAGAGTATAGAACTAGGATGCGAAAAGAGTGGAAACCCTGGGAGAGATATGCGCAGAATTCTTCTAGTATCAGGGCTATGATGCTAACATACCTGAGAGATTAGAATAGGTTGGATTACTAGACTCTTTTATAACAAGAGGGAGAACATATATGTGTTGATGAGGGAGTTCTTTGCAACCTTGGAGGTGTCCCCAATCATAAACTCCAACTATACTGGTACCACATACTAGTTGAATGGAAGACACTTCTGAGGATAGCTACCAAAGCTTAACGGTGAAGCAAGAATTCCTCCTATCATCACACGAGAGGAGCAAAGAGGTGGCTAGACTATCACCCACTCAACACCTTCACTAACTGGGAGAGCCTTTCACAAGCATTAATCGAGGATTTCATTCCACCATTGAGGACAAAGGATCTTAACGATGATATCACTCAATTCCTTCATAAAGAAGGAGAGACGTTCTATGATTGATGGAGCAGATTGCAAAAGAATTTGAAGGTGTTCCCCATCATGGATTCACCCCGAGCAAATAGCAAAGTACTTTGACATAGGCCCAGTTTGAGATACCACAATGATGGTGAACTAGTATGCCAAAAGTGATTTCACACAAATGACATGAGTCATATGCCAAACACAACCCACACTTGCAAGGAAGTCAAATAATTAGTCCAAGAGATAAATGATAAAGCAATTAAAGACGATCCAAGGAATCGAGGATGTGAATACCATCTTGCATCAAAAGATGAAAGGAGCTTTCTCAACAACTTAAAGATTCTGCGATGGAGCAAATGAAAGAACCCATTGTGCGTTGTTCGTTTTTTAGGCAAGTGGAGACGTAGGTCATGACATTCAATATTGCTACATCCCCCCCCCCCCCCCACAAATAAATCACCTCAACAAATGGCCCTTGTATTCATTATCAACAATATAGCAAGAAGCCCAATCCACTAGGATTTCGGAGCCATCCACAATATAAGGAGCAAGAAGGAGGTTCTTCAAACCAACAACCTCATCGTTTCGAAAAGCTAGAAGCAATAGTTCAGGGTTGGCAAGCCAGCTTTCAAAATATTGAATGTCAACTTGCAATCCTTATTGGTGCCATTTTTTTCCAATCAATGCAATAATTTATCAAAAATATCATTTCAAAAACTTAATGACTAATTTGGACAATATTATAGCTTTTTATTTAATTTATTATCCACTATTGTAAACATACAAAGGAAATAGCGAAAAAGCAAAGTGGTGCTAAGAAAAAAAAAACAATAATAAGTCATACACAACAAATGTAAAATGACAAGCTCTAGCTTCATGTAGTAGCATAGCGCCTCGTAATTTTTCTATTAATTTTCAGTCCAGAACTGCTTTTGGAGGTAATCCACCAAGTTTTTGTCCACTTGGAATGCCTTGGTGAGGACATCAGGATTGATAGCGGGATCGGAACCAAAAACAGCATTGGCAATAGTAATTGTGCCTGGATTCTGGCTGCTCAATCCGGCAAAAGCAATAGCGTTGGTATTGGCCACGTTTAATTGGAAGTGAATGAGACCGATTGGGAAGACGAAAACATCTCCAGCGTGTAGGGTTTTTGTGAAGAGCTTGGGAGGGTTGGAGGTGACAAACCCGACATGGAGAGTGCCCTTGACCACCACAAGAATTTCGGTGGCACGAGGGTGGGTGTGAGGAGGGTTCAGACCACCATAAGGGGCATAGTCAATGCGAGCCAAAGAGATGCCAAGAGTGTTGAGCCCTTTTAGTCGGTCGACATTAACCAAAGTGACGTTTGAGCCAACCGGATTGGATGTGTTTCCGGGCAAGTTGAGGCCACGAAATGTGAAGTCGTCGGCATTGGCTTGCATTGGGTCCTTGCAGAACTTGCCATTCACAAACACTGCATATGTAGAAGAAATTCCCATTAGGCACTTTATCATGCATAGTCAAACAAGAAATTAATTTGCTCAAGGCTGAGGAGTGGATATATTTGCGTACCACCGAGCTTGGGGTCGTCAATGGAGACACAGAAATCCTGAAGAGGGCTTGGATCGAATGCTACCGCAATGGACGCAAGGAGAAGAAAAGTAACAGCCAGTACAGAGTGCAGCTGATCAGCTCCTCTCATCATGCTATGTATTCTTGAGCTAGTTGTAAATAGGGATATCTCAGTTTCTGTGTGCTTTTGCTTTAACTAAGGAAGGGTGAGATATCCCTATACCCAGATTGGTAGCTACTTATATAGCTGTACGTAGAATCAAAGGGTTGAAGTAGTCTCATGTCGTCTCTCGATATCATGACGATAGCATGCAGCCTGGTCTAATTTGAATGGTTAAAACTTAAAAATAATTGATTAATTAATCTTGTTTTTGAGTTGAAACTAATTTACCAGTTCTACGGAAGGGTTTGGTGAAAACTTGGGGTCGTTAATGATGTTGGATATATGGATGTGGTTATTTCATCAACAGAGGTCAGTTACCGACGTCATGCGTACAGAGCTTGAAAAGTCAAATTTTGGAACGCTTCCAGACTAACTCCCTCCTCCTCCCACACAAATTAAAAAAAGATTAATTACGTTGCAATTATTTTTGCGTTTTATCATGGAGCGGACTATGTCAACATGACTACAAATTATAACTCAAATGATTCTCCTATACTATGAGTTTTTCGAAGTTAGTGGCTGCTTCTGAGACGGCATGGCTATGGTTAAGCCCATGTAAGGCCCTGGCTATGGTTAAGCAAGCATAATAAGAAAACAAACCCGAGAGTAATCTCTCACCGTGGACTAATCCTGACAATTGAAAATATCATGTAAAATTTGTGTCTTCTTCGTTATCACATATACGTTTAAACAAATTATATATGGTACTAGCACAGAACCCGGCCCGTTGGTCGGAAGAATTTTGTCGAGAAATATGATATATAATAATAGATATATAATAGAGGATTTGAAATGCACAAAATGATTGTTTTCTAACTTAGTTATCCACATAACATTTTTGAAAATGATCCAGCTATGCATAATATGTCTAGACCTCCATGAAAAGAGAAAAATATAATATAAGCATTACTTATGTTTATTGAATAAAAAAAAGAAATAAATATAACTAATTGTCATCCATTACTTAATTAAACCATATAATTTAATATTAGAGTTGTTTCTCATAATACATACATAATCAACCTTTAAGATGAAAGAAAATGTCTCTCATAGAGTTTAGTATGTCCTTTAAGTTTTTCCCAATAGAGAGCATTCTTTTTTACCACACCATTGGTAATGAATCTGAAGTTGCTTGATTTGAAATATATAGGACATGATGCTAAATTGTCGCTAATAGTTGTTTTGAGAATGTGTTGTGTATGGATTTCCAAAATTATTCTCAGATCGCAGACATGTTTAACAACAATGTAGTAATTTTCATGCAGCAAATATTTTTTTCATGAAATAATTCAATAAATAATAACCTATGAAAATCATATTTCATGAAATATATAGTACTCATTAAGTTGATGAATGAGAAAGGGTATAAGTAACATACATCTATTTTAATAATATAGAAGTTGCAAAGTGTCTTTTGGGTTGAATGAGATCGCATATTCTCATTATCGCTAACTGACTTATGTTTTTTTTGCAATAGATAGTTCAAAATGTGCCTTAAAATTTATGTTCCACCAGTGTAAAAGAATTGTTTGAACCAAATGATTACAATAGTATAAAAAAATTTGACAGTAGAGTATTTTATACTGAAATCATAATTTAACTGTGGTTCAACCGTTTCATATTGCTAAATATCACCTATCGATTTAGCCTATGGTGTGAAGTTTTATGGTCGAACCGCCAATATGTACGATCTTTCAATTCAAACTTTAAATAAAAAACCACTAAAATATTGACATGATCAAATACCCTTAAATCTCATAAATTATCATAATCGTATTAAGGAAAAAATCATCCAAATGATAATACTGATTTAGGATTTTATGGGGTCATCTGGAAGTTGCGATTGTTAAATAGATATTGTGTTGTGAATGCATGTATAGTATTATATATGTATTGTCGGATTAAATGCATTGTGTATGGCACATAAGCTAAAAGTTTAGACAAAACAATCCCAACTCGACTATCTCAACAATAACAACTAAAATTTGAGATTTAACAATACTCATTTTGATTGATAGTTTCGGTCACATCACAGATGTAATCCATGTATTGGTTCTACTAAAAAATATAAAAAATGATGAATTCTAAACAATACATGTATAGTAAATCTCAACAAAACAATCGCAACTTTCAAACGACCCCTTAATCGAAGTGAAAAAATTCTATCAAATATAATGTCATCTCCTAAAATAAATCAAAACTCAACAGGGCAAAGAATACCCAATAAGCAAAGCAGAAGGACAATTATTTCACACTACCTCATTCCCCCCCCCCCCTCCCTCGTTTAAGTATGTTCTCTCACTCTCTCTTATGCCTCGTTCACTTGCCATTTTGTTTTCTGTTTTCTGCTGTGACAACAAAAATAAAAATAAAAAACAAATTGTAAGAAATGTGTTTCACTTGCAATTTCATTATCGTTGGAAAAAATAAAGGGGAATAAAAGAGGCAGTTGGGCGGAAACAATAAAACATCCTATGCTGGAAAATGAGAGACGAATTTCCTCCCGTTGCCCATTGGGTTATGCCCCCATTCCTTTTAATGAGCCCAGCGTTCGAATCCATTTGCCACATTTTTTTCTCCTTTTGTTCACTTAGACCAACGACGTCGTTTTTGCTAACCCCAGCTCCCATCGTTCTTCTCCTAGCCTCCCCCAAACTCGACCTCCCCATCGAACGAAGTTGCTACAGTTCGCCTCTTCTTCCTCTAGCAGATGGAGAGAAGATCGATCCGATGAACTCCTTCTCTAGTATGCGAAGCTTCAGCGGCGAAGGAAGGGTTTGCTTTGAGATGGCAGCAGGTATTACCATTCCACCGCTAAGTTAATCATTCTCAAAGGCTTAGATCCTCGAGGTCATATCAACAGTGGTGTGGATTATGATGGATGAGACAGTGATGGCTACACTTGCCCAGCGGATCGTCGATAATCCTCTTTGTTTTTCCATTTGTTTTTCCATCTCTCTCTCTCTCTTTGAGCTTTGTATCTCACCACTCTCCCCCTTTCCTTCCTCTTTCTTCCCACCGCCTGGAATTGAGAGAAACCTAGAAACACCCCAATTACTTATCCAATTTTGCATTCTAAATGCTTCTTCTCCATTCACAATCGAAAGTGTGAATTAGAGGACCTGAAACCTGGCGACCAAATGGCCGCTTATTCCTCTCAAATGGCGCATTTCTCCATAAAACATGAGTGCACCAATATAGACTATGTGGTGCTCGCACTTGTGCGCGAGCGCTTGAAGTGTAAGTCAGGTATGACCCATGAAGCATTCATACTTGTATAGGGTCGATCCATATACATTGTCTTCATGGTATGCTCTAACTGTGTCATGCTAGCTCGATCATGTGTCTACGTATAGTTACATGCATTCTAATTATTAAGTTTTTACATATTCACAACACCAAGATAAAAACAATCATAAATGCTAAAATACTACATTTGAACCAACTACCACCGATGCCACAAATAATAAGTATATCTCTAAATCATACATAAAATATTTCAAACATCACAAATATTAAGATTAAATTAATTATTATAAAGAGTAAAAATTAATAAATGAGGTTAATTATAACTCATTTATATGTTAATGCCATTAAATTGATCAACACACCCAAAAATGGCAAAATGAACATCACATTAAACCTAATATCTTCTCATTATTGTCGAATCCATTCATGCTAGATTAGCCAAAGGTTTAATGTTTAGCAATTAACCAGGCTAAAATTTTAAAGAACCAGTCACATATAGTTTGTACAAAATATTATTGCTTCGTAGTAGTTCTATAAATTTATATTAATTAAAGAATTCTACATCTCTGTTGCATATTCAATACTGCAATTCGATATGCAATTCAAGCATTGAATTTGTGTTGCAATTTTAAGATTACCCGTCATTTTATAGGTTATAAAAATTATAAATCACGTATTAAACTTTGCTTTTTAGAATATTTAATAGGCTAGCTAAACGTGAGGGAAAGTTTCTATGCTTTTCAAATCTTCGCTAAGTGTATGCTTACAATTCAAGAAGATAAAACAAATTTGTTTAGTGTAATTGGTTGTGATTATTTTTTTCAAGAGACCATGGTTCAAATCTAGATGTTAATACCTTTTTATAAGAAGTGATAAATGATTGCGATGAAAAAAAAATACTCTTCCTACATTCAGTCTTGTTTCACGAAATTGGAAATGAAAAATCTTAAAACATTGAATGTATCTTATAGAAAGAGCTTCTTCAACCAGGTAAGAAGGGCATTTTACCTGAAATTATTATATCTTATAGAAGTGATTAATTGTGAAATCGGAACTCATGTAACATTTACTCAAACATTAAATATTAAATTGTATGTGTGGTACAGTTTAGATAAAATACATGTGTGTAGCCAAAACATGGGTCTTCGTGACATATATAGTAACTTTTTGTGACAAATCTACACATAGAATAAAGTTATATTTGGCACTATGATGAAAAAAGAGGTTCGTAGAATCACTCTCAGGCCACGAATATAAAAGAAGACTCTCATTTTCCAAGTTTATCATTATATTATGTATAGATTTGTCACAAAAAAATACTATACTCGTTACAAAGGTCCATGTTTTGGTTACACTTCTATAGTTTGTCAAAACTAAACTAAACTACACATACAATTTAATATTAATTTTTGAATCAATACTACTTGAGTTCCGATTTCAGAACTAATCTCATTCTATAAAATATAAATAACTTAAAGATAAAATATAAATATAGAAGCATCACCACAAACATATTTCTAGAGTTTAATCAAAGAAATAACAATAGATATAATGTAGCCTAGTTGGTTATAATGATCTTTCTTAATTTAATTGATCCAGGTTTGAACTCCAATGATAACATTTTTAATATATAAAGATAAAGTGGGCGCAATGACAAAAATGCCCTTCCTACAATCACTCTCAGGCCACGAAATTTGAAATGGGAGAATTCCAACCCATGTTTTGCCTTTATATATCTTGTAGATGAGAGCGTTGATTGGTGTGATTAATCAATCATGTCTGGGAAAGAATTAATCCTCGGG